GCCATCGCTCCTAGGTTGGAGGCCATCGCTCTTAGGTTGGAGGCCATTCTCTTTGGAGTGGTATCCGCACCGTTGCTTCACCCCAATATCTGAGGTTTGTGGAACGTAAAAAGTCGGCTCCAAAACAGCCGTGTTGCGACCGAGATGGCCAGACCATATACATCAGCAGGTAGATCAACGCTTACCTTGACAAATGCGCTGAAATGTATCTGTGTCTGGGAGTAGTGCTGCTGGAGCCCAACTCGCAAATTAGCCTACCTAAGGCCGGATGTATGATGGAACCTCTTCCCACCAAACGGTCTTGGATACAAAGCTCAATGAATGACAGAAACTCAAACCTGTGTTATGCGCTCAAGTCCAGAACGTGTCTTGAATGTTCTGCGCTTTGCCAATTCCCTGTTTGATGCCTTGTTGTCCACCTCCGGTACTTCTTCTTCCTTTTCTTCTGGTCGCCAGAAGCAACAATTGACTTGCTGCGACATTGCAAGCTGCTGATAGTCTAAGGATGCCATTAGCACGTAAACAATCTGCAGGGTTTTGTGAGATGTGCCGTTGAGGCATGTTGGGCCTGCACAAACGAACATGTTTTGTGGAGATGAGCCTGAATGATTTGCCAGAAAAAGAAACAGATTGGCTCTTGAACCAAAGCAAGCTAATGCAGGTCACAGAACTCATGGCAGTTCTTGTAGCATCCCTCCAACTCGCTGACACTCTTCTCAGAGCTCTGTTTATAGCACATTGGCTGCTGCTTTTCAGGACAAACATCCACAGCTTGCAAGAAACTGGGATCAGCGCTGCATCTCCTTCCACAAGGCAAAGGCCTGCTGAACATTGCTAGACTCGTCCACGCTCATCACCGTTTTTCGCACATCTGCACACACAACCCATGTCGATCTATCGATGCAGAGTGGGAGACTGTCATACTGACCTCCAGCCACAGTGATCGGCGCCCCAAGCTTCCCATAGCAATGGCATACTCCTATGCCGTGCAGGCAAAGTGATACAACTCAAAAAGAAAAGGTTGAAAACGTTGACACTTTTTGTTGAACACTCTGAGAGAGCTTCTCGAAACATCCCCGGGCCCATAAAGTCTAAGGATGGCTGAGGCCAGGAAGGCAAAGATTGAATCCTTTTTGTGAAACAATACACTCCTTTTCTTTTGACTCCACATTGATCCACTGTGGTACTACATACCAGCATCTATCCGGGCTCCTTCGCACCTGAGCACGTCTTCGGCATTTGCAGCTTGAAACATATGTAAACAGAAAAACATGCCATGCTTTACCATCAGCTCCGGATTGTGCATGAGTTCCCCCTCAGGAAGTTGCAAAGTGTCCTTGTTCACAAGGATTTGCTGCTCCCATCTTGAGTCTGTGAGCCCACAGTGCTTGAGCTCTATCATTTGTTGACCTGTCGTTGAAATTCTATATAAATGTCTATCTATCCCACACAGTGACAATCCAAGTGGCCAGTCAGCCAGCTTCTTTGACGAAGCTTGGATAACGCCTTCTGCAGCTCCTGCCCGCAGTCATTGAAAATCTATGATGCTGCGATCAACCCTCCCTTGCCATAGTACCCCAATGCTCTCAAGTGGCCAAGACTTGGGAATGATCCCTGAGTGAGGGTCACCCCGCTGGCCCAACACCCTGGGGCTCGCGGGCTCGGCGCTGGCCCACACCAGGGGCTCTGAAAATGGCACGCGGGCTAGGCGTGGGTTATTCATATCAATTGAGGGGGCACCTTTCGAACAAATTGTGAGCCACAAGCAAACCAGTGTGGCCCGAGAGCAGCCGGAATATAAATGTGACTGTGACGCTAAAGACAGGAGTTAGTTCGCATGTATGTGTTCAAGCGTCTGTGCACACATGTACATTTACATACATATCCATATGTATATAGCTAGACATATGTACCTTTACAAGTGCATTTAGACACATGCATTTTCAGAGTTTGCAAGAATAGAAGCATATGCACAAGTGCACTCACGTGACTACACTTGTACAAAAGCACTGGTGTCATGAGACTTGTGTAGAATAACACGTATGTAATAAAACTGGTGTTGATACTCTCGTGTTAATGCACTTGTCTTGCTACTCTAGTGTCCATGCTCTTATGTTCCAAAGACTTGAGACTGTTAGCAGGACTTGCTGAATTACAAGCTCCAGGGTCCACCTAACCCACCCAGCGTCAACCACGTCCGCCTTTTCAGATGCTTGCCGATTGCGAAGCTGTGCAAGCAGCACTGCCTCAGAGGTCATGAATTCCAGCAACTGGTAAAGTTCCAGTCTCTGAATTTTTATTGTGAAGGGGGGTTGCAGATCCAAGTAGTGTCGAGCATACTCTTTGCACATCGTGCATGACCCTTCACCCTGATGGCAAAGACTTAAACACCTGTAGCCGTAGTTGTACACAGATTGCACACATGTTGAATGTCAGAACAATTGCTGGATCTTCTGTGTTCGCCTTGAGGCTTTCTGGCCGGCGGGACTTCCCATGGCTCCCCATATTCAGAGGGCATGGAGCACGGCAAAACTCAAAGTCTGCTTTGGATCTTCCATTCTAAACCGTCTAGGCCCCACCAAAATGTTTCTTCCCTCGGTTCACAAAACTATACATACAGTATGCTGAAGCTTGCCCGGAAGATTGAAGGGGCATCATTGGAGTGCGATCCATTTCGAGCTGGCCTTTGGCTGGTGCAGGAGCAAAGGGAGTATGTCAAAGCATCAAAGTAGATACTGTACCTGCAATTGCCTTGCAAGTTGCTACAGCCCGTGAACAAACGTGAGGTTTGGAAGATCATTCCTGTCGATAGCTGCCAACTAGGAAACAGCTGCATTGCACGAAGCAAACACGAAAACAAATTGAGCCATTGTCAAGTGAGTTGCCTAGTAGTAGAAGTAGTAGTAGCAGCAGCAGTAGCAGTAGCAGTCGCAGTGGTGGTGGTAGTAGTGGTGGTGGTGGTGGGTAGCAGGTAGCAGGTAGCAGGTAGTAAGTGGTAAGTGGCAAATAGTAAGTAGGTAGCAGTAGGTAGCAGTAGGCAGCAGTAGGTAGCAGTAGGTAGCAGTAGGCCGTAGTAGGTCGTAGTAGGTCGTAGTAGGTCGTAGTAGGTCGTAGTAGTAATAGTAGTATTAGTAGTAGTAGTAGTAGTAGTAGTCGTAGTCGTAGTCGTAGTCGTAGTAGTAGTAGTAGTAGTAGTAGTAGTAGTAGTAGTAGTATGTTAGTATGTTAGTATGTTAGTATGTTAGTAAGTATGTTAGTAAGTAAGTTAGTAAGTAAGTAAGTTAGTTAGTTAGTAGGTCGTAGGTCGTAGGTTGTAAGTGGCAAGTGGTAAGTCGTAAGTTGTAAGTAGTAAGAGTTAGTAGTAAGTAGGTAGTAGTAGTAGTAGTAGTAGCAGCAGTAGTAGCAGTAGTTAGTAGTAGTAGTAGTAGTAGTAGTAGTAGGAGGACATCAAATGTCCTTCGTCCAAAGCATTACCATATGCCATAACATGTCAAACTTTTTTCTCGAACAAATGAGTTTACGAGGTTCACCTCGGCTCATGTCTATGTGTGCAATCGGACCTCAACACACATATATGATAATATTACTATATATATATATACATATTTTTATTCAAAAAAATACTCGCGCAATATATATATATATATATATGCTTCCATCCTCTTTTCTAGACGTGTGCTGCTTCAGCATCTTTCTGCTGTACTATTGCCGTGGCCTGCATTCTGGAGAAAATCGGTGCCCTTGCAGCGACTCCAGTGGCATGGTTCCACGCCCCCGAGGTAGTTCCACTCACCCCGGGGGGGAGGGCGGGATAGCCCTTTTTTCTTGAGATGGAAAAAGACATGCAGAACTCAGTGGCTTCCAGCAAAGAACCTAAAGTTTCCAATGCTTCCAGCCTCTTTTCTAGACGTGTGCTGCTTCAGCATCTTTCTGTACTATTGCCGTGGCCTGCATTCTGGAGAAAATCGGTGCCCTTGCAGCGACTCCAGTGGCATGGTTCCACGCCCCCGAGGTAGTTCCACTCACCCCAAACCCACAAACACTATGGCTCATGGTCGTGGGCGGGGCGGGGTTTGAAGTCAAGCTCGTCGCAAAAAGTTCTCATGAGGGCAGCAGAAAAAGTGTTGGAATAGACCTGCGCTTGTTCCGTAGCAAACCGTTTGCCATGAAAACCAGTCAAGCTAACGTGTTGTCTGCCAGTGCGACTGCAGAAAAGCTTACCGCTGCAAGTGCTAAGAGACACAGAAGGTGTGTTCCAGATCATCAGCAGTGTTGGTTTTTTCCAGTTGCAAGCGTATTGACACATATCCACTCGAACCATGTGCACGGCAAGGTGTTTGCTAAGCATCTGCATTTGTGGGGTTTGCCACACCCAGGAAGTAGCAGGATTCTCTAAGTATCCCTTCTGCCCAGACTTCAAACATCTGCGAATCGCTTTGATTGCGGCAAAAAACATATTGTTGGCAGCCTGGACCTTGTCCCTATCACGCTCAGACACATCCGGCAACCCAAACATGTGTTCTGCAGACCGGAGCGCTTTAGGCATGCGAGACCAAGCTGGGGCTCTGCGAGCACGACTCCATGTATTGCAAGGCAAGTCAATGCCCACTATATCAAAAAGGTGGAAAACTGAGAAAATTGCATTCCATTTTGACCACTTGGACAAGTCATTCACCCTACTGACCGAAAGATCAATCACCAGGGCTAATCCTCCCCACTGAGCAAAAATTCGAGCGGGGTTGCCGACGCCCCCGAACAAACTAAGAAAAGTCACGCCGCTACAATCTGGGCGACCGCCTTTCTCACAGTGGCTGGGAGAGGGACAGTGCCATTGAGGTAGTAGCGAGGGAAGTTCTGCCGCGCGTCTTCTCCAAGCTTGCTCCACTTCTGACCGAACTGATTCATGGCCTGCTGGAGTCGACCCGGTTTGCCGTAAATGCGAGCGCTTGCATCGCTCGCCCACCGGCCGCGTCGCTGGATCTCTGGCACAGACCTCAGTTTCAGCAAGTGATCCCGACTGGCCCCTCCATGTCTGTTCTGGTAAGGTGACTGAGCTATTTCTGGAATGCCCAAGATGTCCACACACTGGCGCCAGACTCGAAGAAACTGAGCCGCATTGAAGTCCCACAGGGGTTGCTCTGCTAGTTGAGCCGCTATCTTCTGCTTGGGCTCCCTTTTCAGCAGTTCTCCCAGCCATGGCGCTGGTGCCCTTGAATCGTCCAGGATCAAGGTTTCGTCGAAGATCCCAGCCTTTGAGGATTCTCCTCTCTCGAGTGGGCTCAGCACTATCACGTCGCGACTGAAGTTGGAGGTCTTGGCCACAATGTCCCATGGCTGAACCCGGAGAATCTCGCCTGGTCGGCCATAGGTGCTGTAAGTGACTTCGTTGAAGAGAACCATTTGCGGCTGTCTCATGGCTATCATGATGCCGCTGATTGCACTCTTCAGGACTTCCAGCATGGGAAGACGTGTTTGGTTGGGTGCCAATTTTCGCCACCCCTTCATAGCTCTCTTGAATCTCGGCAGATGAAGGTAGCCCTCCCGAATGCCCTCTGGTCGGGCATATTCCAACGCAGCTTTGAGCTTCTCTCCCGCGTGAGAATCCTCCCCATTGAGAAAGAGCTCGTCCGCGAAGTCGCACATTGCTTCGTCCAACTTTCCTTCGGTCTCGATGGGAAGCTGGTGTCTTGCTACAAAGTCGTAGAACTGCTCTAGCCGTCTCGCATAGTCCTTCCTCTGTCCATCCTTCAGGCTTGCAAGCTCCAGGATGGTCATTGTCTCTGTTGAGCCTTTTTGCGTTTCCTTTCCACTGACTTGACCAAGTTGCGAAGGTCCAGCCGATGGGTTGCGTTGCTCTGTCTGCATTGTCCCGAGTCCGCGATGGACTCCTGCTTCTCAACTTTCTCTTGTTCGAGATGGGAATTGAGTCTTCTGGCATTTCCATCTTCGCATTTGTCTCCCGACCTTCTGCTTTGTGAAGACCTGTACCACTGGCTTTGCTTCCTCCCAGCGACGGCTGTCCTTGTCAGCCACATTTCGCTCAGAAGGCAACCATCGCAAGTGATACCTCTGACCACTAGCCAAAGCGTGCGCCGAGATCCTACGAACAATTCGCAAAAGACCATAGTTGTGACATCTACCCTTCTGCACGGCTAATACCACCCCCAGGTTGTCATTGAAAATAGTGATACGCTTCCGACGTCGATGAGGATCACGACTTCGATGTTTGACTGCAGCCAAAACACTCCTAGCTTCAATCATGTGAACAGGCTCCTTAAAAACAACTCGTGAGTTCCACAGCTTATGCCACTGCCACTCTTGTAGATGATCAGGGTCAACTTCAGGGAAATCATGTTGTTCTTGAACTACCTTGTCAATTTCACCATCAATCTCAGGTTTCACCGTGAGGGGATCTTCAAAAACGAGGCTGGTGTCTAGCGCAGCTTCACGAGGTGGTTTTCTCTTCCCGTCCCCAGCCTTAATCTCCACCAGCGGCTGCCGAAACCTCCGGACCATGGGAAGACTCCATCACGGCGTACCCTGTAAGACATGCATCTGTGCACAAGGGTTGGTGATCCCATTCTGCAAAAATGTCTGCTACTCCCAAAGGCATGAGACCTCGAAAAACCTGCAGCTCCTTTGCAACTGATGGCCAAAGCTTCGGTCTAGTGCTATAGGACTTCTGTATGAACACATATGAATGGCGAAGGACCCCCATCAAACCACGATGCAAGAGAGCGCGTACCGTCATATGACCCACCACCACCTGGAGCTCCTCTCCTGTGATCCATGGTCGAGGGAGTCGGCGTGACTTTTCCGGCCACACCTTCAATACGTACTCTAAGAGACTCTGCAAGTGAACAAGGGTCCAACAAATCATGTGTGTCCAGTCCATGTTCATGTAGTGCATCTAGTAAAACTTTCTGGTCTTCAGCAACTGCATCTCGCTCTATACCCAGGTGGTTTGCATTGTCCGCATAGATCATGACTGCCGTACCCGTGACCTCACGTCCTGTCCCCAGCTTCGGGGCCACCCTCCGGTCGATGAGAGGCGGCGCACGAGGAATGCATCGCCTGCACAGTTCCAGATGAGCTTCATGGGCCAAATGAAAAGACCAAGAAAATCCCATAGGCAACACTTGGAGATGTGGGTATATGGGTGCGTCATGTTGATCTGCTAGTTCAGGAGGTAGATCAGGTAGTTCTTGTTGTAGGGCATGAAGATCAATAGCGGGCAAGCTGAAATACTCTCCTAGTTCCTTGGAAATGCCTAGTCTGTAAAAGTAGTCTTTGACGTCCTCCTGTGCTATAAACAAACGATTAGGTTGTTCAACTTCAAGACGACTCCAACAGTCAACACTTCCCAAGGCAGTCGTAGGTGGGGTTCGAAACAATCGGTTTGCACGACGAGCATCGACCACGAGTCTCTGCTTCTGGTTCTTCTTACTTACGAAGAAAGCTCCAATCTGAACCTTTGGTGTGATGGTGAATCCGAGCAGCTCACATTCGATCAAACCTGCTATAAACTGATGGTATGCCTTTTTGTTTGCCTGCAAAACTGGATCAAGATAACAACAACCATCCAGTCCCTTCTCCAGTTCAGCAGCCATTTCCTCTGGACTGAGCAACATATGGCTTCGAAAGTCTTGGAGTTGCTCCTTCTCTCGCTGTGGCAGCAATCCTGCCAAGTCGACGGGTTTGCGCTGCCCTCTCGGCAACGACACCTTCGACCTCTCATAGCCAACCAAAAGGCCTGGTCCCCCCCCATCATCATAGACAGAAGGTACCTTCTTCCGCAGCAGCTGTCTCAACGCGGCCTGCGGGCTCTCTGCTTCCGGAGGTGGGGCTCTCGTCGAATGAGCCTCGTGCACGTTCCAGAGAGCAGATCGCTGAGCAAAATTCAGAGGTGTTGATGGCCATGCACTCTCATCCATGAAGCCAGCAAGTCGGTTCAAGCTCCTCACTGACTCCCGTTCACCCTCAAGCAGCTTGCGACGTTTTGCCACCCGCTGTCGAGCACGACGAGAATTCAAGCCTCCAACATCTCCACTGTACCCGTGATCTCCCGGAAGAGGGAGAGGTAAAAGATCACCCCATCTTTCCCAAGGAGCAGCGCGAGCTTCGGAAAACCGGTTGGTGCCAAAAGAGGACCCGCCTCCAGCGGATGCACCATTCCCGCTGGAGGCCCTGACTTTCTTAGGGCTTCTCTGGGGGCTTACCCCCATCTTTTCCTCCCTTCCCATCGCCTTTTCGGCTCAGCCTCTTCTCCTCTGCTGCCAAGCGGGTTTGCTTCATCACCTCGGCCTTCGAGGCCTGTCGTCGAGCAGCGTGCAATGCCAATGCCGGATCAATCAATGAACCATCAGCGCTATCCCGGACTCCCAAAAACTCTTCTGCAGCATCGTATACTGGAGCTTCGGGCCGCCCTCGATGCGCGCGTTCAATCAAGGTCCAGCGCCTGTTCAGCGCCTCTGCAGACGCCAAGGCTGGCAGGTTGAGCTGGTCATAGCTGAGCATGTGGTTGAGCGCTCTGCAGATCGAAGAGTGTTCGTGAACAGATCTATCAGTCACCCGCACTCCTGATTTCTTCAGCCAGGACTCATGGTGCTGGAGAAAGTCTTGGCCAAGCCTGCGAAGCTGGCGACAGTCGTGGGCTACTGTCCGTGGACCCTGGAGCGGGAAATCGTCGAAGTCAATCTCTTCAAAATCCGGAACCGCTTCGTTGACTGTTCTCCAACGTTCATCTGCCGTGTCAAAAATCACCGGCAGAATCCTCACATCTCTCTCATCTGGGTCATTCGGCACGGCCCCTACTTTGACCGACTTCATCAATCTGTCGAAACCTCTGGCGCTGAGCCTCTTGCTAAAAAGTCGGTGCCGGACTGATCAAAAGCACAGTAAGCCTTGCCCCCCAATGTCAACATATTTGCATCCAAGGGTGGAAAAACTTCTTGGCCAATGTCAGTCCCACTCGAACTGTATACTGCAACCCATCGTCGATCACTGAAGTCTGCATCCATCAGAGCCAACTGGGTTGCGGCATCTCCGGGTGTCGCTGCCCCTGTTGGGAGGTGAGCTTTGCCATCCAAACCAATCTTCCCGTAGACCCGGCGTCTGTTCTGGGAGTTGAGCTGTTTTTCAGCTGTGGCAACAAGTCGTCTCATTTCCTCATGTTCTATGTCACCTCGATCGGAATGTTTTGGCAAATATGTATCATCCTCCCGAACCCCAGTGGGCAAGCGGCCGTTGTGCTTCATGCGCATGATCTCCGTGTACACGGGACCAACTTTCAAAACAGTGGGTTGGATGTCACGGTCAGGTGTGACAACTAAAACGTCATCATCCCCTTTACATGCCAAGACACATCTCCAGTGCAGAAGAGCTGGATCATCCTTGAATCTGACGAGCACGGCGTCTTGCACTAGCCAGTTCATCGGGCGTCAAGGACTGTCGATTGGAGCTGGGCTCAGTGCTCTTTTCAGGCTTTGTCGAGAGCGGGGCCAACTCAATAGGTTGTCCGACCACTGCAGGAACACACTAGGCTGGTGATCCCCTACAAAAGGTCCCCACTAAGATGCACACCCCGAATCCAATCAAAGTAGCAATAACCACCAAGCACAAAAACAGATGTTGCCAACCCTCGAGGTATGCTTGTTTTGAAAAACACTTGTTCAGCTCTTGGGTGTCAAAACGGCACTGCCTCAGCTGATCAGCCAAGTCTCCTGCCCGCTCTGAGCAAGATCCCAGCTGGACAGACTGGAGCTTCACACTATCAGTGCCCCAGGCCACTAGCAGTCGCGCCAGATCCACCCCAAGCGCACGAACGGCGCCCTTCCACGCCATGCACAATCAGATAGCCCTTTTTTCTTGAGATGGAAAAAGACATGCAGAACTCAGTGGCTTCCAGCAAAGAACCTAAAGTTTCCAATATATATATATATATATAAATGACAACCTTTGGCTCATACAACCGGACATCCCATTGGAAAGCGTGCAAATTTTATTGTCAGCACAGCAACATAGCTATGCGTTGCAAACAGCCTGCATTGATGGGATATATTCATTGCCTGTTGTTCTCATGATCTTGTGCCGATTTGACAATGACAATGGGCCATCTCTCTATATATATAATTATATAAACATGAATAATAGCCATAGCTTGACATCTCTGTTCATCAAGGCAAAAACAGCACGCCTCTTTTTGAGAGCAAAGCAAGAGTCCAACCTGCCCCCTGAACGCTAGGCAAAGCAAATTAAGAAAGCAACAAACAAGTGCTGTATCTTCTAAGCCCTTCTAGAACACAATGCATGATTGAGTGAATCCTGTCGCGGCCTGGAATTTTACAGAGCTCCGCGATTCAGTCTGCCACAGCTTGGAGGAAATCAGCTAATCAAGCGGCAGATTCGAGTCAAACCGTTGTCTGCTGTCGGTCACTGCACCGAGAAGCTCACAGCACATTGTCTGCTCAGCTTTTCTCAGAGCCAGATCCATCGTCTTCCATGTCACTGTCCTGCGTGACTTTTTTGTTGAATCACTCCATTCCTACTTCAGTGATCAGTTCCCGCCAAAAATATAAGGCAAAACAACATCTCCGCTGGCGAAACTTACCAAATTGTGTGCCCAGCCTCAATATCACTCGCAGCATCTCCTCCGCCGCCCCCTGGCGGGGCCGGTTTCCTGACAGTCCAATGCAGTCTGGTAAGGATCCTTCAAAGTCATGTGGAATCAGTTTATTAGCTATATAATAAGGTGGTCCTGCACCACATCCACAGGCCAGCTCCGATGATGATGATTCCAAATGGAGACATTATTCCTGCCAAAGCTCAGCAGCTGCTTCTACTGCACATCAAGACTCCTTAGCCTTCTCTATCAATATAATATAGATATAAAACAAATCTCTGACTTCTCCGCTGCTCCCCATACCATGCGGGCCGCCGTACCTGCGATGAGTGCAGCCTTTGACTTCGCAGAAGGGTTCCTGAGCACTGGTTGCCAGGAATTCTGCAGATCTCAGCTCCCATTCCCACATCTTGGCTTTCTGGGAGTCTTAAACAGTGATTAGACCCAAACTTCCAACTCCATGCTGCCTCCATGCACCCCCAAACAATGCCAAAGACTACTTGGTCAGGTGCATGGAGCGCTACGGTATCTTTGTTGAACTGCTCGTGCAGGTTATATACTGGTGAGTGAAAACGGACGCGCCACGAACAGCCGCAGGATATTATATGTTTTGCTCATTTTTTGGTTGTTCGGTTCGGGGCTTTGACACACACAGAAAACAAGCTGTGCAAGAATGCTTTGATCTGAAAGAACGCGGCAGCCTTTGACTGTGGTCGGTGAAAGCAGATCCCGTTTCTGGTTGCATGCATTGGGCATTATCATCTCCAGGCTACTGAGCTCCCTGCTGCGTGTAAGGTGCACCCTTTGCCCCTGGTGCTCCCTGGTAACCTAGCACTGGTTTGCACTGGGTCAAGCACAAAAACAAATCTTCCTGCTTTTGAAGAATCACATTTAGTGCAATTGAGTAAAATCCCGACTGTAGAAGGCACCGTCACTATTTCAACTTCAAGTATGGGATACCCGTGTTATCGCAGCCAAAAACAACAAGTATCCATCTTGTCACATCTGATTGGTGAAGCGCCTGGTTGCCCAGGTTGACCCTGGTAATATCCTCGCGGGCAGAACACAATGGGTCACCAGGGTCCAGCACAAACCTGTTTGGGAAACAGAACTGTTTCAAGTCCGAAAGCATTCAAGCCATTGCTCCTTGCTGTGGTGGATATCCACCTTGACCTTGAGGCGGGTAGCCTTGTTGGCCTTGTGGTGGGTAGCCTTGCTGCCCCTGCGGCGGGTAGCCCTGCTGGGGCGGATAGCCCTGTTGGCCCTGTGGCGGATAGCCCTGCTGTGGTGGGTAACCTCCCAAGATCAAACTCAAGTCATGAAGCTCTCACAAATGCTATCAACACCGTGCTGCTTGCTTTGTTGTTCTGGCCTGGCCTTGCTGTGGAGGAGGCTGCTGGAATTGCGGAGGTGGCGGCTGCTGATAACCTTGCTGCGGAGGCGGCGGCGGCGGCTGCTGATAGCCTCTCAACAAGTCCGAACAAAGCCCACGATCTTCAGGTGCGTTCGTGAAGAACAAGTTTCAACCAAAGCTGACGCCTTGTTGCGGAGGTGGCCCATATTCAAAGGACGTTTTTCTCTCGGAACTCAGAAATGCAGTGCCTGGGTGTGTTTGGTGATTGACAATCACGTACGTAGAACCTTCTGAAGTGTGAGAACTTCTTATCAAATAAATAAACTTCTAGATCCATTGAATGATATTGAATGTAACATGCCGGCTGCTGGGCCAAGGTACCGAGTTCTTGGCCGCGCCTTCGTGAAGTAAAGCCTGCCATAGAGCGCACATGTGTATTCAATTGACTCCTCAAAGGAGTTGCAAGCTTGCCAACAAGCTTCAGACCAGGAGGAGTCTGAATCTACGACTAGTGCCTTGTGTATGTTCCGCTCTAACAATCATGCACCAGTCAAAACTAACCAGCTTGTGCCTGTCCACAAGAGTGTGCTGTGGTGATTTTTTAAACTTGCCACTGTCTACCAAGCACAACAGCACAAGTGCTGTGGTCTGCTTGGCTTGCTGACATGTCAACCCAAGGTTCATGTCTGTTGAATTCCATCCCCTGCCACATCGTGCCAGGCAAACCAGCACCATCACCCAGCCAATCGTTGACGCATTGGCGACTTGGAAGGCCCGGCGACTTGTTCGCTGCATCCGTGTTGCTTCTTCTCCCACTCTATGTAGTTCATTTCTCTCCCCGTGTAGTTTTTACAGGCTGCAGTTCATTTCTCTCCTGCTTTCTCCTCCCTCTTTTCTCTTCAATAATTAACGTTTTCGCCCTGAGGGTCCAACGACATTGGCCTTGGCATAGTGGCCTGAGGATTTGGGCCAATTCACTCCACGATGGGGTTCGTGTTGTGGTGACATGCGCAATGTGGCCATGTGCCAACCCACCCCTTAATCACCGCTTTGCCAACTCACCACCATCCAAGTTCAGTTGGGAGCTTCGGGAGACCCCTCGGTACCTCATCACGTCCATACCTGAACACACACCTAGATCGCTTCTAGTAGCAAGGACGCTACCAGGAGCAAAGGGCATCGCTACTAGGATCACCACTCACTCACCTCATGTGGCGTACTAGTGCGAGTCTGCGAGGTGCAAAGAACCAGGGGCGCGACATCCTCCCATCCTCTGACAGAATGCTTTAACCTGCCAACGGAGCAGCCGTGTCAAACCTCTCATTGATTGTCATTGATGCGCCTCACATCTAGAAGTGGAAAGCCTGGACCTAGCTGGTCAGGCCGTGCATCACACGAGCACATGAAGTATCCACAATCTTTGTGCTGCGAATGCCCATGACCAAGGGCATGCCAACCCTTGAGAGTCCGGCCATCTTCCCAGGATGCGGCAAGAGCACCACGGGCCATGACCTTCAAATGTAGCAATTGGTTTGCTGCATTAAACGCGAGAAAAAAGAACGGTATGAAGTATCATGCCCATGATATCCAGAGAGTGCCTCTCCCCACCTTTACATCTGTCCCTCGGGCGTTTGAGCCCGAGTCTTGGGAAAAAGCAACAGGTGGAGACTCACATCTTTGACTCAGATCTTGCTTACAGTACTAGTAACAAGAAGCTACTAGGAACAAAGGGTATCGCTACTGGGAGCTAGGACACTACTAGTATCTCCTGGCCTTACTACTAGTAAATTCGTGTCTGCACTCATTGTCTCGGGCGTGTTGTTCGACGGAAGCACCATGAAGCACCTCTCTTCTTTTGCCACAAGCGAGAAGCTTGCTCGCACCCAAGAGACTATGCTCTTCAACGAATTAAGACAGCATCAGGTCAGCTTTAAAGCATTCAGCAGCTCAAACTGCTGAGAAATCTTGGAACCCCACACGGGCTCCTTGTTGCACTCTTAAATTCTCGGAGGAGGCCTGAGCTCTGATCACTTGGCTGACTTAGCTGATTATCAGTGATTTGCTTTGCTACTCCATTTCTATTGTTTGTCTTCACGTTCCCTCAAGAATGATTTGCCTTGGCCAGGGTTGACGCCAGTCAGCTGCCTGAGAAACAACGTTGGACGAAGGCCCCGGAGTGGACCAGTCGACAATCAGCCAGCAATCCCACCAAGCTATGCCAGCTATGTAAATGTTGAAAAAAAGCAACGTTGGCATTCTTGAATCATCATTTTCACAACGCTTGAGACTCGGCCTCAGCATGGGAGCCACACTGGCCACAAAAGGCTTCGGGTGCTGATGCCCCACAGTAGGAACAGCGGCGGAAGGCATCCTACAATCAGGAAGAAACCACAAAGTCGCAGTGATTTGGAAAGAACATCAGAGAGAGTTCTTGGAGCTATGACATATTGGAGTAGAATCAAATTGCTATGAGCTGCTCTGAAGCGCAACAATGTGACCTGCAGTTCAAGCTAAAGCTGGTCCTGCCGAGCAATTCGTGGGGATGGTGCCTGGCTGCTCACATATCCTGGCCAACCCACCAAGTGTCGATCTGTTTGTTTTGAATTTGGACTTCGCCACGGCCAAGCAGCAAAGCCCAAGTTTCGGCCGACCGGGATCATTGAAGGTCCAACCGCTTTCGACTGAGATGATCACGTGAAGGTCCAGCTGCAGATGCCAAGTTTCGCGAAAATGCCCCTCGGACAAAATCAAGTCACATTGCAAACCGAACTCAAGCAGTGCAAAAATCGACTTGCGGTGGCATTCTTTGAAGGAAGGAGACGGAGGACTTAAGATATCTTAAGATAACTCCAGACTTCTTTGAAGTGCAAATCCCAATACTGTCTTCTTTGAAGTGCAAATCCCAATACTGTCGATGCAAATGAATGAACAAAGGCATCGCACTCAGCCGCACGCCTGCCCCAGCCGCTTCGCGAGGAGGGGCAGCCGCAGACCTGAGATTTAAGGAACCATTCGACTGCACCTAGAAAATATCTACAACATTCACACACACACTGGCAAAGAGCTCTATAGCCCACCAATTGAACAAACACCTCCATGCCCTCAAGTACATTTGGCAATCTGATATTTGGGACCGGCCTCACAAAGCGGCCATCCAGCAAGGAAGCATGGCGCTGCAGGATCTCTGACCTCAATCACGTCGGTGGAATGACATCAATCGGTCACTTGGCATCGACCCAATGACAACTCCATTGACCCAACTTGTCTACTCGTCACGGTCTGAGGCTCCATACCCAAGACCTGCGCTGATTGAACTGCCGGAACCGTTCCGACCCGCTGCGCGTTGTGGATGCACTACCCCAGCGGTGGGAGGTTGACGAAAGGCCTGGACACAGTCAAGGATTTGAACAGCTTGAGGTTCAAACCATGCGTTAATCGCTCTTGCCAGGTTTTGCCTGTTAGATTCTTGGCAGATCGGCACAAGATAAATTCTTGTTACCTCGCCTGCATCGGATCTGCATTGGCATCGCCAAACTTGGCTGCAAACCATGCCTAGCTGAAAAGGACATCACGGACAATTCAGCTCTACCTGGACCCTGGATGACCCTGGCCTCCTGAAATCTGTGGTCCATGGCTGCCACGTGCTCTGCAAAGGCTTGACCATCATTGGACCTCTCTTGGACACATGCATGTCCATTCACACAATGTGTGTTCATAAGCTTGGGGAATGCGCATTGCCATAATGCGTTCCAGGTCAGTGCAGTAAGCCTTCCAGGGCCGTTTTTCAAGACCAATTTGCAAACCAACCGAACTTGCCACCGAGGTGATGAAAGGCCTCTATAGCTTGCTGATCCTGGAAGTCCAAACCTGGGGTCTTATGCATTCCGAGGGTCAGAATCCGTCATAACTTCAAAATATATGTTTTGAACACATTATGTTTGAGTCTGATCATCCTATCTTTTCCACAAACGGGTCGGCCATGACATATTCTGAAACAAGCCATGACTCTGAAACATGTCAGCTCTGCCAGACAGGCGGCGTCAGCAAAATGTTCTCAAATGGTACAAGTTGCTTGGTGACATCCATCCCAACACTGTCCGGCAAGACTGACTAAGTTAGAAATGACCACTGACTAGTGACTAGCTTTCAGTCGGAGCGACTTTTGCCAGAGCGAATCTTTTCGGAGTCGGCCAGAGCCGCAAAGCCCCAAATCGTTCGAACAAGGACCGTCCTCTGTGATGGAGGCTCACCATTGATGAGACCGTCCTCTCTGGAAAAGCCAGGGAGTGACAGAGCGGGGACAGCATAACGACCTCTTCTTCTTCCGTCTCTCAAATGATGCAGATGGCCTCGAGGTAAACGCTGCATGGCTGGCAGAGCTGGGGAGCTGTGCATTCCTTGCCAGGTCTGACATGGCGTGGTGCTGCAAAGGCACAGTGTGGCCTTCCGGGTGTGGCGAAACCACAAACCCTTGCGGCAGTGGCTCTCCAGAAACGAACCATTTGCCCTGAGAGTGGTCCAAACTCATCGGCACAGCGACGGCCGTAGTGACGGCAGTGACTTCCGGCAACTCTTGGCACTCTGGCATCCCAGAATCTGTCCCAGCAGAGTACTGGTTGGCCATGTCAAGTGGAGCTACTGTTGAACTATGTACAGTTTGGCTTTGAAATTGGCTGCGGTCGGGTCAACACCCCTGCGAGAAATCCAATGGGAACACCATCGTAAACCACGTCAAAAGAACTATCCAAAGCCAACCCGCTTCTGTTGGCGAATCCATTACTTCACGTGCGCGCTGCTCCAAGTGAACTGGCTCTCTTTCCACATCGGGACCCTTTCTTATGTAGCTAGAAGCTACTAGTAACAAGGGCATCGCTACTAGTAACAAGGGCATTACTACTAGTATATAGCTAGAAGCTACTAGCAACAAAAGAGTCGAGGGATTGCAATCCACACCAAGTCTTTGGCGGTCCCATGGAGCTTCCAGCGGTATCCTGTCAATCCTGGCGGACGCAAACGGGAGAAAGCGCTTAGGTTCACACATCCGATGCGCACCTCTGTGCTCCAGACATGCAAGCTACAAAGCAGCTCGTTCTGAATGTTTTTTGGCTCGTTCGGCCTGACTGGCCTGACCTCTTCGTGCTACAATTCGTGCTGGCCCCATGTCCAGTGTTCCTTTTGCCAATCTACCCGCAAAAGAATAATCAAACTAACTTTCAACTCGCCAAGTGACCAGTTGAAAGCAGCATGTGGATGCATGTCCCGTTCATTCCAACGCTATGTAAGTTGTCTGTCCAGCTGTACCTCCTGTAAATGGTCCAAAATGCTGCAATGATGCCGTCTCCTGCCTTCCTGATCCAAAAAAGGCGTGTTCTCATGCGGACAAACGTACCGTTTGACCGTTTGTGGCATTTTCGTCACTGCAGATCACTTGGGCACAGTAAGGCATCACGGCTGCTGGGCAAGTCACCTGCCACTATGTTTCAATATGGCCAGAAAATGGAACACATGGAATGAATGTTCACTTTGCAGTTTTTCAGGCATGTGTGCCTGGCTGGAACCGCCTTCCTGATGACCACCAGGCCTTCGTGCACAAAGGCCCCAAAGATAGGCAAAATACAGCAACGAGTCTTATGCTGAGGAGAGCGCGAAGGCCAAGGCCTCAAGGGATGAAAGAAACATGCAAAGCACGGCATTGCTCCAGTGATGCTGTGGCGCCCCAGCCATGGCCCCGAAGTGTATTTGCATCTCAAGGTACCCTGAAGTGCCAAGGCCTGCACATGATGTGCAAAGTTAATCTCAAGTATGTAATGCTAGAGGAGTATCAAAGGAGAGAACAATCCGCCTGTGTAGAGTGAGCCTTGGTCAGTTCGACTCTGATCAAGCTCCACAGTGACTGTGCAAACAAACTTTAGGTCCTAAGACAAGTGACTCGCTCCAAGTGAGTCCATGCCACTAGCTTGCAGGCTGTGCAGGCTGCAAACTCGTCCGCCTGTCGCGCTGCTGTTGCGTTAAGTCTTTTCCAAACATGACTGATGACTCAGGACATGCACAGCTAACTCCAACCAGACTCACAGCCAACCAAAGTTCTGGTTCAACGCCTTCAGAGCTAGCGCTAGCAAACCAGAAGCATGTCACCGGGAAGCTCAGAGCCAACATGAGCACCAAGAAAACCTCAAATGCCGAATCTTGTGAGTCGCCAAATTGCCAACTGCCGGTTGTGGTTCATGCGATGACCGTGTTGCTAGCGGGAAATGGGATCCAAAAGCGGTAGATCCCATCATCCACTTGCTCCACTTGCCCCCAGAGAAGGGGTGCTCTTCCATCTTCAGAATCCAAGTCTGCGACTTTTATGGCTTCCAAACAGCCATCACTACCTGTGTGAGCATGTTGTTTGTTCCGATAGTTCCATCTCTTTGGTCTTTTTGAATGTTCCAACATGTTCTAATGATATCGCGTCTCATCTAGTCCTGTGTCGCAAGCAAGCACTCAATAATGTATAGTTTCCTCGTTTTAGTCCGGGGAAGGCCGTGAAGACTGGGGAGGCTAGTAGAAAGGGAAGTAGCAAGAAAGCTTCCAGTAGCTGGATGCAAAAAAAATGGGTTTTTCAAGGACACATCTCCCGCCAAGAGCGGCAGAAGTGTCCAGATCAAATCCGCCCACACCGCTTGTCGGTGCAGGGCGTGCTATTGGGGCTCTTGCCGTCGATCTCTGCACTTTAGCAAAAACATCCTATGCATATAGCTCTGCTAGGTTTTTGTTTTTTCGCGCGTGCGTGGCAGGGGATGATTTTTCATTACGCCGTGCTTGCAGAGCCACTGGTGAGAGCGCTTTGGAGGAGTTTTTGTGCTTTGGGGTGGTTGCTGCGTTAGTTCTTGCTCGGCTGCAGGGCCACTGGGGACAGCGTTTTGGAGGTGTATTTTTGGATGGCTTTTGGCAATGCCGAAGTTGTATCACCATTATGGGCCCCAAGGTGGATGAAGTTGGCCCCAAGATGGCTCCAACGCAGCCGTAAGACAGCCAACCTGGCGCCTAGATGGCTGCACTTGTCCCCCACTTGGAGCCAAAATAGTTCGCAGAAGCTCACTTAAAATCCTGGTCCTGCTGGGGGAGGGCCGAACAGAATCTGACAGATAGCTTCAATGCCGACGCTGTCTCACCCAAGCTGATCCCAAATAGCGTCATTATGGGCCCCAAGGCAGACGAAGTTGGGTCCAACGCAGCGTAAGACAGCCAACCTGGCGCCTAGATGGCAGACATGGTCCCATGGGAAACACTTTTACTCCCTCTTTCTTTTCGCATCTGACCCTCCTTCACTTCTGACTTAGGAATCACAAACCTCCTTTATTACAGCATCACCCCGTGAAGCTCCATTTCACTAACTTCGGATGTTTGTGCGCGGTGTGGGCGGCTGTCGACGCGAAGCGTCTTGAATTAAGACATAAAGTTGTCTTGAGAATTGAGCCATAGAGCTCTTAAGCTGTGTAAGTATAGTCAGTCGAAATGACACGCATCGAGATTCACACCTCTATACCGCCACAAGCATCCAAGCACGAAGAGGGCCGGCAGAAGGCCAGTGACACCTCTGTCCAAATGGAAAGGACATGTTCAAAAAGGTCTGGCAAGACCACATCAACTTTACTGGTTGACACATGTTATCCAGCTTTGACAGCTTAGCTCTTGGCGAGCTCTAGACTCTAGACACATCCGAGAAAAAAGAATTAGAGTTCAACGGTCTTCACCTCTTAAAGTTCAAGGACTGTTTGGACCCAAAGCACATTCCACCCCTGCCTGCAATCCATGACTCATTCGTGAAGGGTTCTGTAGCAGTTCCGCAGTATGTCATTTCCAGAGCATGAACATGTCTGTCGCTTCATTTGTCACATGAACGGATTTGTTCTCCACACAAATGCTACAACAATCCCTTGCAAGCATAGTTCGGAGTGCACAAAGCAAAGCAACTCAACTCTTTTTTGGCAATCCCTCCTGGTCTTGCTGGAGCAGGAACAGGCACCTGGCGCACGAGTCGTTCTTTCTTGCAAGGACCGAAGCCCGAAGAAGCGGCTGCGAAATAACTCTACACTAACTACAGCATAAGTTTCTCAATCCTTTATATAATTATATTATAAGTATCACTACAGTGCAAGTTTTGCTTGCATTGCAGTCTTTGCCATGACCCACCTCTAGAACAGGGGCCATCAATCCAGCACGGAAGCAGCCAAAACTTGGTAGTCTGTGCAGATAAGTTGACCAAGTGACCATGTCGAGCGGCTTGCTTCTTGTCTTCAAGATTTGAAATACCAGTGTATATATATATAATGTGCAGTGTGCTGTCACTTTCGATTCTCACCTATCATGAGTGCAACTCGAGTGAATTGTGCTCTAAAGTAGCAGCTTGTGGAGTTCGACCCATTTTATGAGAGCCTGTATTCTCGAGCGTCGATTGTACAGTTCCTTTCTTCAATTTCTGCCGTAAACCTGTGAAGGTTCCAGCCCTGGATTCGGGCGCACCGGTCTCAATCAAGTGTTCATCTCACGTCCTTTCTTGGCTTGTCCTTGGTGTCTTTGTCATGAGCTGCCCAGAGCCATCAGCCCAAGTAGCTGGGTTCAGTGACCCAACCGGCAATGGCACACGAACAGCACATGGGTCCTACCTGTACAACTAGTTGAGATGCAGTCCACCCTCAAAATATTGATAGCTTGACAGAATTGGTTGTATCGGATATGATTGTCATGCAAGGGCTGTTGGACCACATCCATCGTTGTTCCAAGAAGGCATGCACCACTAATTATCATGGTCAAAGCGGTTGTTTTCTTGTTTGTTGATGCTATGGCTGTTTCATGTCTTGTTTCACATCCATGCAGTCAGGATATGGGGCAATGGGAAATCCATTCAGTGCCTTTCCGTTCGTGGGGATGAAGCATTGGCCTTTTTGTAGAAGGAACACAATGTGAAACGGCCTTGTGTTTAGATTTCAGCTGGTTATATGCTGCAAGTCTTGATATGTTTATCTTGATAAGTGGTGCTAAACTCCTGAATGAAGTGCGTATGTGGGATGGGTGAAACATGCCCTCCCGGTCACTTGCTCTGTTGAAGGCGCGTCCAAGTGACCTGCAAGGACAAAGGCAGCAAGTATACGCAAACTGTTTGTGGCTCTTGAGATTCCATACCCATATCAATCTTTACCTATGTTTGACACTAAGCCAAACGCAGTCCTTTTCTTTTTCATCTTCAGGGTGACCCTGCGAAGGAATCTGCCAGTCTTCCTTTCATTGGTATGTTAAATATGTTGTTTCTAGGAGTTCAACTGCTTGTCAGCAAGTATGCTTGTCAGGTTGATGCCAATAGCAAGCAGTGGCCTTTTCCCAGCGCTCACACGGTGTTTTGACTCATCAGGCACCTGGCAGGTAAGAGTTGCATAAAAGAAAATTGCTGAGCATGCGTATGCAAAAAATACTGACAACTCTATTTAGTACTTTGTTTTTTGAGTTTATCATATTTTGGTGTGATCTTTGTATGCCTGAGTCCGGCACAATTTCACCCTCCAATTGGCGAAGGCTCAGTGCATACTCCTTGCATGAGACTTTGTTGACTTTCAAACCCAACACTCAAGAACGGCCAAGACTTGCACCCTTCCAAAAACGAGACCAACAAGAGGTCCTTTGAGTCTTTGCTTATGCGCAGCTCGGCTGATCTAGCCTCAAATTGGACCTCAATTGAGGAATCAAAACATTGACACATGGTTGACATCATTGCAGCAACCTTCACATCGCCGTCTTTGGCCGCTTCAATGGCCTCTCAGGGGATCGTTTTGTTTACTTTATATTCTATTATTCCTTCGTCTTCAGACCCCTAAACCCTTTTATCTGTTTTCCTTGTTCTTCGTGTTTTCTTTTTTCTTTTCAACACTCTGCTGTGTGTTCTCGTGACACGCCTCTGGTTCTCCCTCGGCTGACACGTAGATGCAAACGAAGTCACCCTGATGACCACTCGAACGACGCTTCCGGTGACTTCAGGTGACTTCAGGGCCTCGTCAGCCCAGGAGTAGTGGGTCAACGCTTTTGCAGCTTTTTCTGCCTTGAGAACACGGTCAGCATCTTTGCAACTTTGGAAGGCAAAGAGCAAAACAAGTCCCAGACCTTCAAAGCATCACCTGTGAGCAGCGGTCGGCAGGCTTCGTAGGGCTGCTTCAAAAGCACGCGCTTCAAGAAACACATCATGTTTGCAGGCAAAGTTGATCTAGATCTCCAAACACGAAAGGGATGTTTCCACAGAACCTTTTGGTATCATCTGAAACTGGAATCACTTTGTGAATTATCGGCCGGCAAAAAGTGGAGGAGGCCTTTACTCTCTTTAAGGAAGAACGGCAAGAGAGAGAGAGAGGGAGAGAGAGCGACAGAGAGACAGAGAGACAGAGAGACAGAGAGACAAAGAGACAGAGGGACAGACGGACAGAGGGACAGACGGACAGACGGACAGACGGACAGACAGCCAGCCAGCCTGCCTGCCTGCCTGACTGACTGACTGACTGACAAACAGACAGACAGACAGACAGACAGACTGACTGACTGACTGACTGACTCAGTGAGAGAGTCCATAACGAGAGTGTGACCCATCAGATGTCCCCTCAGTTTGTACGTGTGATGTATGCCCGGACTCAGACTTCACTGGAGGGAGAGTGAAGTCATAAGCAGGAAGAGAGGCAGTTGAAAGGCTGGTCATTGACCAAAGGAAACTGGAACCAATTCGGCTGAAAGTAGAAATCAACACAACTGATCACGAATTCAATTACTAATTACACAAAACATCAACAAATCAAGATAAACACGCACTCAGAACATCAAAATGCTGAAAATTGTTCCGCTGCGGAAAAGTGAAAGTGAATAATGGTATTTTGCACGCGGGCTGCCATTGACCACTATGAATTGGTATCAGTTGAGTTCAAACATTGTCGACACGACCAAACACAAAACAAAACAAATCATCAAATCAAGATCAAAACCAAGCCAAGTGCTGCAAAAAGTCCCATTGTTCCATGGCCGCAATGTGAATGTGAAAGTGGCGTTGCGCAAGCAGGAAGGGGAAAAAGGACACTAGTGCAAAGGAGAAAGAACAAAAACAGGAAATCCGTTACAAACAAACATGCAACAGCAATCAAGGAGAGGGGGAGAGGGGGGAGCAACAACACCCAAATGCGACAGTACAAATGTTAGGAACTCACGTGCAAGTTGTAAAGAACAGGGCTGAAAAGACTCACAACGATCATGTTGCCAGTTCATGGTGTCATTTGCCAAACCTGAGGTGGTTGGAAGTGAAACCAACTCCAAGCAGCGAAACTGCATCAAAACACATCAAACTCAGCCTGGCTGCAGCAACTTGAAGTGCCAAATTCGAAGGCAAGAAGGAACCCACGAACCCGAATGCACACACGCACTCCAAAACAAACGGCCAAACATTGTTTGACACTCTTGTGGGATACTCTTGAGTTGGAAAACAAAACGTGAAAAAAACTGAGACTTTAACTGCGCTTCGCTGTTCCATGAGCCCGCTTCGTCCTTCTGCGGTCATCGTCTCGGTCGCTCCGTGAATGAATAATGCAGACGTGAAACAAACAGTCACCATGTGTTGTCTTGTTTGACCTATTTCCTTCGGCTCGACCGACGGCTGCTCGAAAGTCCAAAAAAGTCCTCCGTGCCTAGCGGACTCATATCATTCCTTCGATGAAGGTGTCTTGAGACACGGCACCGGAACTCGTGCCCAATCATGTCTGCTAAAGGCGTTTAGCCACATGCGATGCTGCCCGTCAGGCTAAAAGCTGTTGCCAATTAGGCTGAGAATCTGAAAGGAAGAGAGGCAAAAAGGAGACAGAGAAAGAGAGAAAGAGACAGAGACAAAGGCAAAGAGAGCACAAGAGAGAGAGAGAGAGAGAGAGAGTTGATAACGAACAATCACACGGGACGGGAAGTGCTTCAGCCTGTGTGGCCACCGTTTCTCAAAAGGGACCTTATATTAATGATCCTTGCTGATGAATAGCGATGCACGAGCCAACCGCCACATGTCGACTTCCAGTTGGCCTTCGGTGTTCGATTCCAACTTGATGGGATCTCCACCATAAACATATCGAAGCTCAGGGGGAAGCTCCTCCAAGCTGAGGCAAACTCATACAGGTAGCCCTGTTCCTCCTGCTCCTCTTGTTCTCACCTTTCTTGTTGTGAAAAGGAAGTTCAGAGTTTGCAAAGCAAGTTCTCCCGCGCCTTTTCATTGGCATGAGCATAGTAGTAGCCTGGGCATTGCCATTCACGCAAACAGTTTCAATTTTTCAAGACAACGGCTAGTCTGACAAAGTGCAGTTGAGCTTCTATTGCCCCCGTTATTGCGGATGGATTCTCTCAGGAAGGAGTTTTCAGGGCGAACCTGCTGGGAAGTAAAGTTGGCACGTTCAGAATATCATGTCCGAACAGCAAGAAAACTCAAGAAACGTGATTCTCTCCTCCATTGCATCCACCTTCACAGTCACACAAGCTCCATCCTGGTGATTGACATCAGATTCCGCGTTCGGTGACGCATCAAATTCCCAAATACAGCAAGTGTCGATTTCTCGTGAAATGTATCAGGCTAGACGAAGGAGAAGTCCTCAACTCCTTGCTCTGCAAGGCCCTGCTTCTCTTCCAAGACCTTCTTCACCGAGTTTCGAGACCTTGCAAATCCACAAACGCAGGCTGCGCTACGGGGTTCCAACAATTCAAAGGGGATTTGAAGCGCACACGTCTTCTGAACTTCAAAAATTGTCCTTCCTATCAGGACGCTATTAGTTGGAGGCCGCAAGTAGGTCGGATGCCATCGCTACTTGTAACAAGAAGCTACTAGCAACAAAATGTCATGTCCTTTCCAATACAAACTGTTCTCGGGTCCCGAACCCATTCTGGTAGCTCAGAGCCAACGGCGTCTCTGCCGTCAGACCCAGGGGTTCCCTGAGCTGCTCCTTCAACTCCTGGCAGGCCCAGAAACTGCAAGGCCACAAAACCAAGGCCGCACGTGAAGGTAATTGGGAGCATACATTCGTCCGTCGCTTCTTGCAAGTCATACATCAACAAGCAAATTGGGAAATGATATAAGTATATTTGAGCAAGTTCAATTGGTCACTTCCACCATGCTGAAACCTCAAGGTGCACCCGTGTCTGCTCCATGGATCTTGTACCCTACATGTATACATGCGACCGAATCCTGAGCGACTTGATGTAGCGACCGCTGTTGGCTCCAATTGAAACATGAGGCTGGTGCAGGCCAATTTCCTCGCTTGTGATGTTGAAATCTTGGTCCTGGTCTTTGTCATTGTCTGGAGCCAATCTCTTGCCCAGTAGCAGTGTTAAAAAGCCGTCAGCCAACTCTTCCTCGCTTCCCTCGATGCTGGGAGCACCTCCAGCCTCGTCCTCACCCCACATCCCCAAACAAATATTTTATACAACCATATATATATATATACAATGTATACAAACACACACACACACATATATATATATATATATGTAATCTACATACAACGGCAAACACAATCATATCGTTCGTCAAGTCCTGCGAACCACGAACTCTCTGGCCTCGCCAGTCAGCCCTGCAGGAAACGACCGTTTCTGCTGCCCATTTTTGCATAAGAATGTCCTTGGAATTGTAGTAGCTCGGCATATGTTGGTCCAACTGAAAGCCGTACGTGCAATCGTTCGAACTCAAAATGATTTCTGTTCAAACGATTGTGAACAAGGCCACACGATGTCCTGCATTGAGCGGCTCAATTTGAGCCTAAGGATTGACTTGGGAACGTTTGCTGGGGTGCCAGGCAAGGACAACTCACCAGGTTTCTCCTGATGACAGCATAGTCTAGTGGCAAGACTTTCAGACATGCGTGTGTTGAACATAGTGATCTCACAACAAAATCATGGAAGCGGCAGAAACTCAAGAGTCGTCAAACCACAAAAGTCCTCTGCAGTCGCCATGCTGGGCACGGGGGGCCAAAAGTGGGCGCCAAGGATCAAGCTTGAGACTATCAACGCCACAGTGGCATGTTATATGAGTGCTATCAATACATGGAAAAGGACACTGAAAGGACAACTTGAGGCCAGCAGGGTGAACCAAAGCTATTAGCAAGGACCCTATGCTCGGTGGAGGCCATCGCAAGTAGGTTGGAGGCCATCGCTACTAGGAACAAGAAGCTACTAGTTGCTTCTTGTTACTACAGGTCCTGGTGAAACGATTCCCAAGGAAGCTTCTAGTTACTCGTAGAAAGAAAAAAAGAGGCGAGACCTCGAAACACATGATTTGAGGCAAGTGAGGAGGTTTTACCACTGGACGTGGTGGAAGTTCGCCAATGAAGTGGCAGGTTCTTACTGCATTTGGCTGGTGGTGAGGTGCTATATTAGCTAGGGTCTAGAGGGTCTAGGGATGGTAGTGCTGAGTGCATTTGCATTGCAGGTGAAGTAGTGCATCTTCATTGCACCGCTGGCAAATGAACCGCTTTGCCTGAGGTGAAATGTCGGTTGTTCTTTTTCTGGCGAAATGGTATTTGTGCTCCCGGCTACTGTCGGCGAATGCGGACGTGCCGCCATCGTCGGTGTTTGCCGGACTGTCCATGTTTGTGTGTGTGTATGCGTCTGTGTGAGTATGGCCCCAGCAATGCCAACAAGGTTCTGACAAAGTGACTGACAAAGTAGGACCCACAGGTAGAGGCGATCACTATTCGCAAGGGAAGAATAGGTCAGCTCATGACAGCGATGAAGCAGTACACTGGACAAGAACAACTCCGAAGGCTCAAAGGAGGACGGCTGGGTCCCTTTTCCATCGGACGCCGTGCAACGGACGCCGTCACCTCGGAGATCTAAAACTGTTCGTCGTGGGCCGAAGTGACAAGGAAGATGTTTCAATGCTTCCTCTACTGTCGGCTCTGCCTGGTATGGTGCTTAAGGAGGGGAATTAATGAATATGAATGAATACTTTATAGTAGTACTAGACAAAAAAAGGGCTTCTATTGGTGATTAACTGTCATTAGCCCTTACAAGCATTAGACTCGTTGTCAAGTTGTCTTATCTCTGGGCTCCCGCACCGGTGCCACGGCAGCCCCTCCGCTGCTTTCGGCAGAGTTGGCGGCTGAGCTCTCCCACTTGCTTATGGAGCCTGGAGACACAACGAAGTTGAGAGTTGGAAGGGGCGGCCAAAGGCCAGAATCTATTGTAAGTGCGGAGTGCGTCTATGCAATTGCATTTCTCCCCCGGGCTGTCTTATGCTTGCGTGTATCCTTGATCCATGACTTCCAACTCAAGCTGTATCTGCAGGCACCTTTGCAACATAAGCATGTAGATATTGCAATCCTGGAGCGGCAAAGCATTCTCTGCAGTTGAGGCAAAAAATGGCTTCAAGACACTCGCTCAAAAAGCCCGCTCTGCTTCACAGCAATGAAATCGCAGTCATTGGTCGCGAAAAAAGCTTCTTTTCAATGCCTTGCGGAATTTGGCAGGTTGTTGTCGCAACCTAGTTTTCTACACTTGAATTAGGCCGACCACTACAGCGCGCTGGCACTATTTGTGGCCTCATCCTGGGATCAAACGTATCTGGCTGTTCGGCAAAATGTACGGAACCAGCTTGAGGATGGGGAAACGATCTGGGTAAGCCAGTTTCCTGGCGATCTGCGCATGCTTGGTCTCAACGGCATTTAATTGCAAACTCTTCCATTCGCGGCGCTTGTCTAAAAGCATCCGCACCACAGCCTGCAGGCACATGGATGTATCCACGGCCAAATTGGCCCTACAGACTGAGTCGCGGATCTGATTGTCCCAATGCTCCAACAATGACACCTTTCCTTGTGAAATTGCACAAACTGAATTGGACTGAGCGGGCAACATCTTCGCCTTTTCTTTTTCTGCCAGGGGTGGATGCGACTCGGCTTCTTGCACCAAAAACGCTGCCATCAACACAGCGCACTGTGCTTTCAATGATGGTGCGTAGATGAGCATCTCAAAGTCAAGTAACATCAGATCAGCAATGAACGATGCCGTTTTCCCCACGTCATCAACCATTGACAACCTGGCATAGACGATATAGCATTGCAAGAACCATTGAATAGTAGGATGGTGAAGCTTGAAATTGAGCTTGGGAAGCATCTCCTTCTCACATGTAAGCAACTGCGAAGAAGTGACTGACTTTCCGAGGCCTACGGCGGCATCTGCATACTCCACTGCATTTTCTTGCTTGTAGTACTCCTTGCTTTGTTCTGCAAAGCAATCTGCAATCTTGAGGCAAGTTGTCGCAACCACCTTGATGTGGTCTGGCACGACAGGCCTCTGCTGTAGAGTCAGGTACTTGTCGAAGATTGCACAAGCCAAATGGGCAGTGCCACTCCTCAAGAACAGCTTGGTCGTCAAAGCAATGATAAAATCCACATGAGCTGCACGGGCATTTGCATCGAACTGAGGGGGCAGTGACCAATCCTCCAAAGTCCAGGAGGTTTTCTCCTGTTCGAGCATGACATTCAAGATGTCCCACACCATTTGTGAGTTCATCAAGCTGGACGGTATGGCTACAGGAGGCAATTCAGGGCTATCTGGAAGAACTGGCACTGCATTTCTCTCACGCAATGAAGGCATCCTGCCTGTCCATGGTGATCCACCAAGCTGCGGTTGTCGCCCGGTCAGCCACCGCTCTGTCATAGGGTCTATGGGCTGCTGTGAATGCAGCCTTCTTCGGTCAAAAAAGGGCAACTGTAAGATGTCTTCACATGTTGCTCTTGATGAGGGTGGGATGGTCACCGAGAGGTCGAGCAAAACCATGCCCTCCACACCTACCACTCTGGCCATCTGAGTTAGGTGCTGCAGGAAGTCCTCTCGATCTGGTTGTGCCTGCTGCAACAAGAGCTCCTGATCCTGTTGACTTCTCAAACATGCAGCTCGAGTGACTTGTGGAAAGCTAAAGCCATCGTACAAGGGGAACTTTGGAGAGAAGTTCTTCGCTGTGACAGCCTCCGGCCAATTTCTCAGAGTTGGGGTGCCCAAAAGGCGAAAGATCCTGAAAAGGTGGTCGATCTCTGAATCTGATTGAAAAAGCGTCCGTCCAGTCGAGGCTTCAACAAACAAGCACCCGACAGACCATGTGTCCACTTTTGGACCATAGATCTCCTGTCGCAAAATCATCTCAGGACACCGGTACCACAAGCGTCGCATTTCGCGACCTGACCGATCTCTCTCCTTTGGATCTTCTGGAGTGTAAGCCTGGAAGGGAACGTCAAGCATTCTTGTCGTGGTGAAATCACCAATCTTCACAGTTCCCCACTGGTCGATGTAGATGTTGTCTGGCTTCAAGTTGCGGTGCATGAGGCCTTTGTGATGCAAGAAGTGGAGCCCTGTGAGCATCTGCATGAAATTCTCTCGAACTTCTGCCATGCGCTGGGCAGGCAATTTGATTTCTAGCCTTTTGAACCAAGTACTCCAACTCTCATGCACAAATTCTGTGCACGTGACTGCACGCTTGTCCAGGATCTCGGCTCCAAAGTGCCTGACCACATTTGGATGCCGAAGCTCTGAAAGCAAAGCCGCCTCTCGGATGAAGGATGTGGGTACCCCATCATCCTTTCCTGCATTTGTGAGCTCCAAATCCACGACGCGCAGAAGGACCACATCTTCTGAGCCAAGCCGACGGCACTTGAAAATACGGCCTTTCGACCGTCTTTCAACAAGCTTCTCAATGACCACAAACTGATCCACAAGCCGAAGATGATGGGCCGCAAGGGACCAAAGCTCCTTCCCTTGTGCCACTTCCCTCCATTGCTTGCACACAGGTGCCGCCTTTGTGACAATATCCGCGGCACCCAGCCGCCTGAAGACCTCAAGCCACAAGCTGAAGCAAGGAGCTTCTGTACGGGGAGTTCGAAAAGTTCTAGAGCATTCATCTTTCGAAAGCTTCAAGGGAGATTCCTCGGAATGGCTCTGCTTGCGGCGTTTGGTTGGTGAAAGAGCCATGCAATTGAAGCTGAATCTCGGCTGCAAGGGCCTCCTTTGGCAGATCGGTGTCTGCCGCCCTGGATGCGGAGTCATGCTCTCTTCATCATCCCCTATGTTGGGACTGATGTTCTCCCCGAGGATGAAGCTACTTGGAGTCTGCTGCAAGGTCATAGCACCCTCTCGGAGCTTCTTGTGCTCCGGCTCTCTGAACTCCAACCACTCGGAATGTTGCAAAAATCACAATATGCTGCCCCTTCTTTTGAGCCTATACTGAGCAGGTAATGTCATGACACACATGCCCTTGCACTCTGCAACATTCAAAGCAGCTCAAGTAGATTCTAAACATGTCTTCAAGCAGGTCCTCTCGACTCTAGACATGTTTTGGGCTTGTCTCATCCATGTCTTCGTGCTCACACAAGCTGGTCAAGCCGGGCGTCCGAACGCTTTCTGCTCGCTGCAGTGCCTTCAGTGCCAAGACACTAATGCCTGGCACTGCAAGGCCTGGTGGTATCGATCGGAAGATCTCAACTGCCTGGCCATGAGCTCACCAGGTGCAGTAAGCGCCGAGCTTTCTGGTCCGGCTTAATATCTTTATTCGAATAAGTAATAGCATTCATACTGTTGAAACATGAACAAAAAATACAGTCCTTGACCTGTTGAGAGATGTCTGGCAAAAACAGACTGGAACAGGGATCATACAGTACATTGGCTTGCATTTGATTTACACTGAGCAAAAGCACTCGAATAAGGTGGTTCTCTACAAAATGTCCATGAAATTCACTGTGGCATCACAATGACAAGTCAAGTGCTTTGCGGCCTTGATGGGCAAGTCGTTCTCGTTCAAGAGCCTTCCGCAGATGTGAGCCTTGCAAAGGCTAGGCATGTCTTTACGGGCCCGTTCTTGTACCAACACACAGCATTGTATGTGACATTGATAATGTGACATTGATAATACGTTCATACCATCTTCAAAGATCATATCGTGAAGTTGTCCATTTCCTGCACAAGGTGGCTCCAGATTGGGAAAGCTAAAGTGCCTGCAGTAATCCTGCAAATATCTGTGGTTATGTAAGCACAGTATGGATTGCCAGTGATCAAGGAAAGAACGTGGAGTTGTTGTTGAGTCGTTGTTGGGGTGCGAATACAGGCGACCTTGTTGGTGTCGTTGTTTGCAAGAGTGTTGACAAGTGCGGCAGCGAAAGTTCGCAAGGTCTTGAGTATTTTGAGTCAAGCCAACGTAGAAAATTCCACAAGGATCTCTGCCCACAGTATGATTTGTGCTTGCAAGAGGTGCACTTTAGTGCACTTCGCACTTAGATGGAATTGAGACATGTAGGAGACAGCTCCAGCTGCTCCTTTCCGGGAAACGATTCCTTTCGCACATTGATTTGAGTCCATGTGGGTTGATTTGGCCTGGACAGCAGGTATACATGCCCAAAGAAAAGCAATAGCAAACATACCACACAGTCACAAGCAATTCATCCCCTAACAATGTGAGGCTGGTTTGTGGAAGAAGTCCGGTGTGGAATGTAGGGAATGTCGTTCATCCTTCATTTGTATCACCACTGTAAAACTCGGAGCCAGTTTAGACGATCGATTAACATCTCACTTCCACTGTGTTTGATCTGAACATAAAGACGCGAGCAGCCTCCATCTTTTTGGACTGCTCAGGGCGTGGGGTCGAGCAGGTTTGGATCTGTCATTTGAAAGTCTGCCCAAAGATCAAGATCGACCCACTGATCTAGTAGTCTGGCCAATTAACCAAAAAGATGAGACAAAGGTTGACACAAGGTTGAGACACCAACCACTAGAATCAATTTCGATCGATCAATCTAAGATCATGACCCAGGCCCCCTCCCACAGAGTCTTCACGATCGAACAAACCTAACGAGAGTGCCTGAGCGCCGGAGGCCAAACGGGCTCGATCGTCGTCCAACCCGCTCGAGCGCCGCGCTCAAGATCACCTCTCGAAGGCCAGTCTGCAGGATTAGCGTCTGTCGATATTCTATCGATAAAAACTCTGACCCTCAACTCAAGAGCTAACTCCCAAAAGACCGACACGAGCTTGCACACATCGGTCTTACTGGAGTAACCCTTGATCAGGGCACCTTCCACTGATTCAGAATCGATGAGCAAAATTAGATCTGAATTACGAACCCGGTCCTTAAAAGTGAACAAAGCAACAATTGGAACAACCATCTCGACCGGGACTATTTGGGTCTGTCGAACCAACCAGGTCTCTTTCAGAGCGGCCGGCACGATCGCTGTGAACTGTCGTGGCGCGAGGAGCCTCCGGTCGAAAATTACCGCCTCTCTGGGGTCCGGTGTGAAGCCGTCCGTGAAGATGACAGCATCCGCTTGCTTCTTCACCTGCAGATCGATGGGTCGAGGCGGACCAGACTCCACTAGCGATCGCCATTGACTTAGAGACTCCACGAGAGCATCATCAAGATTAAAACTCTCGGAAGGAGGAAACCTAGCATACTGCCTTTCGGAGATCACCCTAAGGAACGCCCGTCCGACCTTACCCCAGAGTTGTGAGGCGCCGAACATTAATTTACCTTTGAGCTTTCCTGCCGAGCCCGGATCCAAAAGCCCGACTCTCAGGATGGCATCGATTTCTTCTAAAAGTTCGATCCTACGTTCGGCTTTGATCAAAAGGACGAAGCGTTCGAGATCATAGGTGACTCCTAAAATAGTAGGATCCCTACACAGTTGGAGCTTCTTTTGATCAAACTTCGCTCCCAACCATAGGTGAACACACTCCGCAACAAGACGAGCACTCGTCACCGTTTCGAGCGGTTCAAACCCATATTTATCATCATAGAAGCTAAAAGCAACAAGTTTGAACAACGAAACCAGGATCTCGTTTAGAGCAGCGGATCTACGGTTATAGTTGTAGACCGCCGATACGAGTCCGAAAGAGTGTCCAATCATGATGAAAAAGTTGGGAACACCGCTACTTGGATCTTTCAAACAAATCACGGAAAACTTCCTATGATCCGGGCGGATTGCGACCTGCCTGTAGGCCTTCCGCTCGTCGAGCACCCACCCGCCTAACTCCTTCCATGGAGCTGCCGATCTCAGGGCCCGGATGGCGGACACGTTCACATCAGTCGAAGGCAGTTGGAGCTTCTCCGTGATGACCGTGATCTGGTTGATCAAATTGGTCGTGGCGCTGTCACATCCACGGACCTTGTTCTTTTGCACTACCTCAAATCGCTGGGTTGGGATCCAATCATCAGAGCCGAGCTCGCTAGTGACTTCAGCTTCAGAACGAAATGGACCAATTGACGATCCTTCTTGCACATCCTCGATCGTTGCATCCCATATCTTTTGCAGATTCTCTGTCACTGGAACTGATGCTACCCGGCTCACGATCTTCTTCCGAATCTCCCAGGCCCGATCTAAAGCATGTTGAACTGGCAGTGCTTTCTGTGGCTTCTCAAAGGGTGGCCACCGACCGGTGGAGGCAATGTCGCCCACTATGGGGAAACCATGAAGAAGGAAATCCGGCAGCCGTTGATCAACGGAGTGCACTGCCGCGAGCATCGCCCGATAGAGCTCAATGTGACACAACCGGCCCAGAAGGGGAGGCTCGTGATCCTCTGCGCCACGAAGCAACTTCCGCAGGTGGGGGTCCGGGAGAGCACGAAGAACTCGATCGGACTCAGGCAGAAGGCGATGGGCCTCTGCTTCCCAGAACATCAGCTGCTGGACTCGCTCGTGTTGAACACGCTGGGGATCTTGCGTGACAGCTGTAATTGCGTTCTGGAGCTCGTTTGGCAGAGCGGACAACTCAGTGAACGGATGCGGGATCTCCAAGGACCACTTGATAGCCGCACCCGGCTCAAGCTCTTGTTGGATCAAAGGTTTGAGAGCCCCTCGCTTCATCTGATAACCAGCATGTTGAGCCAGTAATGCAGATCCTGCTTGTCGATGGACTGGCTTGGTGTTGACCAGACCCAAAGGACGTTTCCGCTCGGATGCTGCGAGAGAAAGACGAAAAGAGGGCTCCAGGTGATCCAGGTTCTGCTGATGAAGCCGCAGGATGATCTCAGCCAGGCGAGTGCACATAGGCTCAGGGTACACCTGAGCTTGTTTGGTCTTGAACACCCATCGGTTGATCTTGTTGTTCCAGACCTTGCCTTTGAGCACCTCATGGTGATGGTTACCAGGGCAATGCACGCGCATCGCACCAAAGAGCTCAGAGGAGACCAGCAGACGTGTAGGCTTCATGGAGGGAGCACCGAATGCGCACTGGTCGAAGTCAACTTCGATCGCACGACACGCTTGCTGGAGCTCGCAGCAGGGCGGAGTGGCCCACAACAAGCTTTGCAAGGGGTTCTCGATCGAGAAGTCTCCACCCAAATGGAACACGATCAAACACAATTCCACGGATCGCAAAAGGAACAAATTGCCCAGCAGAACCAGCGCTTCATTGTCTGATGAGAGCTGTGCAAGGCCGATAGGCTCCTGCGCCGAGCGTAGCGGCGGAGGACCGCCATCCAGTTTGCGAGCTGCAGAAAATGTGTTGCATGGAGTGCCACAGTGTGTGAAAAAGATCCCTCCAAGTTGAGCTACCTTGATGATGAACTCCCAAAAATCGGCATCCAGGACATCACTAGCCACTGGGACCAGCTGCGAGACCGAAATGTCGATCGGTGGCAGACAGGGCAGGCCGCTGGCCCGTGCGGCCTGTGTGAGACAGGCTGTACCGGCAAACACCTCCAGGAAAAAGGGTCCCTGTTGAGCAACCAACCGCGGATCCCGCGGCACGTCGTCCCACGAGGACCATCCCGGATGCGCAGCTTTGGGCGGCCTCAAAGCTGTCTCCTCACTGAACGACCCCGGAGGCGGAGACAAAGACTCCGGGGTGGCCGAACGTCTTCAGTGATTCACAGATGTTTGTTCTTGCGTTGATCACCAAAACGACAGCCGAGGGAGCAGTTGTAAAAAGGACAACGACGAGGGCCCGAGTACTTGAAAGAGGTGATCTTGGACCATTCCTTGGCCGGAACTCGCTCGTCACGGGCGGCCGTGCGAGGTTGGTTGGAGCTCGTGGCCTGAGTTTTGGCCTGCTTGAGCAAGGTCTTGGCCCTTTCTCTACGAGCTTTGTTCTTCCTGGCCTTGGCTGATTTAGTCCCTGATGGAGGAGACGTGGATCGCTGTCTCTTCATCGGCGGAGTCTTGGGAGCTTCCGCTTGATGCGCCTGCTTGAAGCGATCGAGTTCAGCGCTAGAGCGGGCATCGTTCCACAGCTGTTTGTGATGGTTGAGGACCTCCAACAATGCTGAGGAGTAGGTGGTGAACTTCTTGCGCTGATCTGAGCTCAAGCGATGAACCTTCTTGCGAATGAGCGAGTCAACTGTGAGCAACAGGGCCAAACCTCGATTTTCATGTCTCCATTCCTCGAGATCCGAGAGATATTGGAGAGGGCCCGCTGCGATAGAGAAATCACAGATGTTCAAATACTCGAGCGTGACGAAAAACGCATGGAGCTTATCCATCACTTGTTGTTCCGAAGCTGCTGGTGATGGTTGATCGATTGCCACCACCTTGAGAAGATCCTCAGCATTCTTGCTCAGGCCTGACTTCTGCGCGATCGACTCATCTCTTGTCCGAATCTCACCTACCTCATAGAACTTCACCGAGCCGTGTACGAGGAAATCTCGTTGCACTCGTTCCACGAACTTGCGATGCGGTTCACGGTGGTGGGGGAGCAGGACATCTGGGCGTCGACCTACAAAAATCTCTCGAAACTCTGCACGATCATCCCCCGGGATTTCCGGAATCTTGGAGGGGTCCTCTTCCATTCGTGCACGACGAGCTGCAAAATGATCCTGCGTGGTGGAACAAGTCTTCCAAACCGCCGCCAGGGAGGTCAGTGCGAGTTCCTGAGCAGGACCATCCGGCCCCAGATCTGTGGCATCAGGGATCAAAGCCTGCAGGGTTGTCTTAACTGCGGCTATGTTGTCTCCGAGCATAGCGAAAGTCTCGACTGTGAGCAATCGCCGATCGGCCACTAACCGACATAGGTCGGTCGGGAGCCTTTGTCTGCCGAAGACTTGCCGTAATGGCAGATCCGGGGTACGTGCTGAGTCGTACGTAGTTCGATCGACCATGGCTTCTCGCTAAAAGATCAGGTTGGAAAAATTCGAGCTTAAATATGTGGATAGATTATTGAAAGAGAGTCATGACCAGACGACGCACTCCCTTCGTCCTAGTGACACGGCCCGGCGCTGACCCGCCCTCTCCTAACGTTTTCCTGAGCAGAGAAAAAGACAGGGTCATGCTGGGCTGGCTTTCTGAAAAGCCAGAGTGATGTCCGGCCGAGCCTTTGCGCAAGCTTTGCACAAGACTGACAAATCCGGGAGCTCCGAACCAATCGCAGAGCACTCGGAGAGAGGCAGCTTTCCACACGCGATCGCGGACGGGTCGTCTAAAGCTGAGCAATGGAAACGATATTCATACGAGCCGGAACCAGAGGCGGTCTTGATGAAAAACTGTGCTTGAGCCTCTTCAATGACTCCGGCGTCGTCCAGCTCAGTATCGACCGTCTCACCGACTGGGCGCTCTTCAGCTACCAGCTCATGAACAAGCTGCTGAATCATACGAGCCGGTACACTAGATCGGTTCCGAGTGTATTTAAGAACAAGGGGGCCCGGGTTCTTCCAGTTAGCCTGCAGACCAATCTCTTCGGTGGACCTACCAGCATGAACAGCAGCATCCAAGAGGGTGACGCGTGCAGAGTGTGCAGTGAGCTGATTGATCACTCGAGCACACATGCGCCACTCGTCGGACTCGCGCTCCCCTTGGAACTTTTCGAGGGCTTCCCGGGCAAGGACCTTCAACCACTGAACCGATCGTTGATGTGTTGGGGGAACAAACAGAAACACCGAACGACTGTTGAGTTCTGGAACCCAAAAATCACGATCTTGTTCCTCTTGCCTGAACAGGTCCCATCCAACCCGGAGCCAGTCAGCTTTCCGAAACCCGACGTGAGGAATGGCAAAGCGAGCTCCTCGCCGCTTGCGATCGACTTTTGTTTGCCACGCCAGACCAAATAACCCAGTATCTTGCATACTGAGGTCTTTCGGTTTGACGTGTTTTCCGTCGTCGAAACGCAGCGAAGCGAAAATCAGGCAGAGCCACCACCAAACGAAAATTCTTGTGGCTTCGGGCCAGTCTGGATCGCAGACGAGTTCCTCCATACACCCAACTACGGTAGTAGGGACGGGGACCGCCTCACGGAGGGTCTCAGCCCGTTTTGTGATCACCTCTTGTTGTAGAGCTAAGATAGAAGGATCGTCAATGGAAGGGCACTCAATGACCAACCGTGCACAAACCCACTTAATGGCCGAGCGAAGGGTGGGAATCACAGTGGGACCGCACTCTTGACCATCAAGAAAAATCATGTACTTCACCACCTTGGGGGTTGACAAGGGGAACACCGGGATCTTAACAGAAGAGAGCCACGTTTCCATGCGTTCCCACACCCTCACGTACATCGCCATCGTTCGCGGCGCGCCGGCGGTAAGAACGAGCTGCCGGAGCTTCTCGTTCTCAGCTGGGGACAACCCCTCACCTGTCGAAGGATCCTCCCAAAGGCGAGCGAATGATCCAGCTCTCCTGCTAATCTGTTCAAGCCGCGCCGCCCACTTATGGCGTTCGGCGTTCTCTTGATCCAGCAGTGGGGAGCTCGACGACTGAGGTTCTGGCTGACCTGAGGCCCTGCGGGTTTCTGAAAAAGATCCTGGATTGCAGCTGCCCGCTTCATCCGAGCGGTTTCTGGTGAAGACGCCATGCAGTGCCCTCATCGGATCACATTGTCCGAATCCGAGTTGATGAGCAGTCGATTCGAAAAAGCTTCGCTCGACCGACGAGGCGATCGACCAGAACTGCTCCAGTTGAGTTGGATCCCTCAAAAGCTCCTCGGCCACCTCTGGTTCCAGGGTGGTCGCCCACTCCGCAACCTTCGAAACGAACTCTGCGGGCGCTCCCACCTCCATGGAGGCCACGAGGGCCAGGTTTCCGAACGGACTCTGAGCAATCGCCTGAGCAAAAGCATCAGTGAACACTGGAAACGAAAGGATCTTTCTGGCCCATCTCTCTAGGTGTTTTTGAGCCATGATTGCGACTCAGCAAACAAAACCTAACGATCGTACATGCCGTAAACGCAGATGACGATTCACTCCGACGATCTCCAATGGAAAAATGCGTGTCGATCGACTGCAAGCAAAATCAAATGAATGAACACTCGACCGACTGGATTAGTGGATCCCTGCTCAATGGACCAAAGTGGACTGAACCTAATTGAACTAGAGCTCAGTCTCAACACTTTGATCGACCGAGCTGGGATCCCGCAGCGGGCTGGGTGCATTTACCTGCAGTCGGCCGGAACGTCGCCATTCGTTCTTGTTAGACAATTCTTTGATACGATCGATACGCTCGAACATGAATGGCCAAGTCGGGGTGACCGCACCCCAGGATCAAAACCTGAACGAGCCTCAAGACCTCGAAGAGAAACAGCATCATGCCTAAGGCTAGAGCTGACTCAACAAGACCCAGAGCTCGCTGCAGGCAATGCGCACTTTAGCCAACGAGCGTCGTCAGTTGGTATTGACTGAATTGATCAATTAAGACTTCCAAAAGAAAAGGGAAGATCACACATCCACGACGTTAGGACCCATTCCAGGCCCATACGAACGCGGGGCAGCCGTGGTGATCCTCACGGTCGGATCTCCGCACGCCGCCTCAAGAGATGCATACTCCTCTACCGACAGGGTCGTCGTGGAGCGCAGCGGGTCATAATGACCTGCCATCGCCCGTTCGACTCCACTGACAAAAGCCTGTGGGGTGACCGCTGCTTCGGCAATCCGCTCATTGTTCCGAGCGTCGAGGGAGCGTCTCATCACATGAACTGCACCTCCTGACGGCGCTCACTCCCGGAGCTTCCCCCGGTTGTGTGATCGACACATGGGCGTCCTGCAGGCCTGAGATCTGGCTGGCGACCCCCGCTGATCCCACCAAGGCACGAACACTGCCCGCCTCTTTGGAGACAGGCTGGGCGGATGGCCCTCCCGTCACTGGCGGCAAGATCATCGTGGCTCTCTCCAGATCTGGATCATGGAATTGAAGCGCCAGTGCATCCACCGGGACCATGACCTTCTCCTGCTTGAACAAGGGCGACTCACAGATCAAGTGCAAGTTCTGCAGGTGCGACTCGACAGCGATCGCTCCTACCCTCGGCCCGCAGTCAGCCAAGGAGTTGGCCTGCATCGCCGCTGTCCAATGTGCGTGGATCCCCGCCAGCTGTGAGAGCTGCATGATCTGATCCGGCCCCTCGATGCGAGCGTATCGACGACGACACCACTCAGCGTTCTTCACCAAAGTAGGACCCGACACTCTTGAGACCATGAGCCAGCTTGCAGGAGCCGAGATCGTAGAACACGTCAGATCGAGCTTGTCTCCAGCCGAAACGAATCGCATTTCCAAACGATCCGCGTCCCAGCCGAACGCGTCGGCGGATGCCACTGCCACCATACGAATCTCAAAGTGGCACAGTGGGAAATCCAAGGCGATGACGATCCCTCTGAACAAGAAGGCTGTTCAGGGAGCACATTTGACCACTGGATCGTCCGGCTGACCCCCAGGGTGCGAGCCACAAGCAGCTGAACCCACCTCAGGTATGATTGGCATACCATCAGGAGTCAACTCTGTGATCACAGGTCCAGGTGTGACCTTAGTCCAGGAGGAAGTTGATCCTGTGGTGGATCCCACCATGCTCGCGCTCTCATCAGGCATGACCGCTTCTGATGCCCTCAGGTGGGCAATGGCGAGCTGCCTTTGCATCGCTCTTGGAACTGGAGGAGGAGCTTTGCGAGGAGCCGCCTTTGGGGGAGCAGCCTTGGAGGGAGTCTCTTGGGAAGTCGACATGGCGCCACAGTGGATCCCAGGCCCTGACAAAAAGCTTGAACAGGACACCAAGCTAAAAATGATGGGAACCACTGGTGCCTGTTGACTTGAGTCAAAATGGCCACCAGGGGTCAACAGTTGTGAACACAGTGGACTAAACCTTTCCTAGTTACACACCTGTTCCAGACCTACCTTGCCGACAACAGGTGCACACATCGCACAGGTAACACTAAAGCACTAAACATCAACCTGAAGCACTAAAGTGGAGCGCTTCGCTAAGGCTTGAACATCTTGCGCTGCCAGAGTCAAGAGATGCTCCTTTAGCCTCGGAAAAAGAAGAGGTTGCCCCTATGATAAAGTAAACAAAAATGTGAGGCACAAGCTGTGCACAATCACACACTGGTAAACAAGTATGCTAGGGATAACAAGTTCTTGCATGTCTAAGTTGTGGAGCGTAGCGTGCTGCATAAACGTACAATTCATACATGTCCCCACCAGCACCGCTAGTGAAAGTTGTTGCTTCCCCAAAAAAGTGATTGCATGCAGATGCCGAATGAAGAGAAAATTGCACAACGGTTTGCATGAACAACTTTGTGTCATTTCCCCTTTTGGGCGTTCGGCATCTGCAAAAACTTGCAAACCGGACACTGAACAGAGGATTGGAAAACTCAAAGGTCTTTTGAAAGTCAACTTTGCAAGGATCTAAGGACTAATTCTCTTGCAATTGTTTAATCAGACGTAAAACGTTGCCGAGTCACACTCTCCAAGAAACAAAACAGTAAAGCCTAGCCACAACAAATTTACACATGTCGAGTATTAGCTCTCAATGCCTATCTATGATTGTTGTGTACTTAGATGCCACCTCTCCGGCTCACACTATGATGAAGCATATAAAGTGCCACATCGGTGTAGGTGAGGGACATCAAATCGGACTACTGTATCATTTGATGTAAGATGGAGGTGTCCGGGATATCTGCAGCTTCTACGGTGGATGAGTGATCAGTCGATGAGTGTATCCGATCTGGTGTGTAAACTACCAGGGAATGTTATGAGGACAGCTGACGTCGTGGAGGTGCAAAAGAAAAACTAGCACACAACAACGGATTCAACTTGAAGTGTTCAGATTCTTGAGCAAACCTTATCTCAACAGAATGGTGTTTCAAGTTTGCCCATCAGTAGGGTACTGTAACATGAATGCTGTTCTGACTCTATGGTCAAAGTTATCACTGGGCAGCATAATGAATAAGCGGCTTGGTTGACACCAACATAATGCTCTTGAGCAAGGAAAAAACATCCTCTCAATGCATTTGGCGCAATGAGAAGTGCGAACCTCCGCACTGCAACATTTTGATGTGCCCATGAGAACACTAAGCTTTTGACTCGAAGGCATCTCCTTGTGCCTTTCGCAGGGCAACTGCATGCGGAGAGTGTTGAAATATGTTGAAATGTATGAGTTTGCAATTGAAATCTATGTCACGCTGCATGTCTGACAATGGAAATCATGGCGCGCAGAAAACGGCCTTTGACATCCAGCGGTATCCACCCAGGCTGGGGCGGCGAAGTCTGAACGGTCCACGGTCCAGAATCTGGCCCTCCATTCTTCGAGGCCTGACCGCCCTCCTCCGTTGGGGTGGTCATATCTTGGCATGTTCCGTATCAGGCGTCCGTATCTTAAGAGTCATGTTCGCCTGGGCATACATACATTGGCACTGGTGCGCTTCTTGAATCGGCGAAGCGATCACGAAGAAGGGAACCGGATGGTCCCTTTTGAACCTTTGACTCCGTCATCCAAAGGTTGTCAACTCTATGGTCACAGATTCGATCGGGCGCCGCTCTCTTCGTGAAAGTGCCCGGCGCAAGGCAAAGCAAAGAAAACCTAGCAAGAGAACACCTAGAAGACCCACAAGAAAGGCATCCGCACTCTCAGCTGCGTGTTGCTCGGACAGCAAATCAAAGTCTTTGCAGCAGCAACCCAAACGGCACTGATGATTCGCACATCTCGCATTAAATAGAAGGCCCCGCTCCATGTCTTCCCACACACCACCGGGCACGTCATGGGGACATTCGGGCCAGCAGTGTTCAATGTCATTTACCATTCCCAGACCCATATGTTGAGGTCGGTAGTTGTGGATCTGCTGAGATCCAGTTCCGGATCTGAGCATGCATCTCGAGATCCATGTTTGGCAGGTCGAGACCTTCACCATGCAGTTCTCATCAACTTCTGAACGAGGAATTCCCACATTTGTTTTGAAGCACAGAAAGGAAGTGTCGCCAAGTGTGCTATGGTCAAAGGGAACTGTAATGTCCATGCAAAGGCCATGCCCACGTCGGAGCACCCAAACATGCTTAAACCTTCGACGGGGACCCAGGACATACTTCGCTGTAGCGACGTAGCGGTCATAGGTTTGAAGGTTCTGAATCGACTTGAAGCGGGATTCAACCCAATGGATACTTCCATTCACATGTTCCAGGGGACGCTCTGGATAATTCAGGTCCTCATCTAACCAATGCAGAAGGAGGTTCTCCATAGCAGAATACTCTGGCTGCTCATCCAAATTCAGACTTGCCGGATCTGAATTCATGGAGTGCAGGAACTCATGCCAGAAATGGAAAAAGGAAAGACAGAAAGAGTCCACTCGCGCTAAAAGTGTTGCGTCGTTGATTGCGCCCGTCTCGAAATCTTCGAACAGCACCAAGGAAGGAGTGCTGTCTTTCACCCACTGCCGTACATTCGAGCCATGCAGTGGCAGAAAATCCTCATCGAAGAATAGAATCCAATCCGGTCTCTGGTGAAGGTCAAGGTCTCGCATACCTTGCGAAACACCTGTGTCACCTTCCACTTCTTGGAAGGCCTCCATGACACGCATTCTTGCACAAGACATGAAGGACTGCTGCGACCTCTCCGAACACAAAGGAATGCCCTTGAGCTCTACAACTCGAACAGGGAGACCCCACGAATCTCCAGCACATCCCCATGCAGCCTGCCATGACTCAGAGGCAGTGCCAAAGGAGAAGCTCAGCAAAAGGATATCAGCGCTGGTGTGTGGCTTGCGGTTCAGCTTCAAGTAAAAGCACAAAATGCAAGGGTTGTTCTGTAGATCTGGGAGCGCTTTGTCGATCATCGCATCAATTTCACGACGCCAGACATGCGACACCGCAGCAAATAGAAAATGGAAGGAATCGAGTTTGACAAAAGAGAAAAGGCTGCAGATTGCGAAAACAAAATGGTCTGGTTTGATTCCCGCATGGCTGAGGCAATCTCAAGCCTTTTGCTTTGAGCGGAAGGAAAAGCGCTGTGATTGCCAAACTCCTGGTTTTGCTTGGACACCATTTGGAATCAATGGCAGAACCGATCACAGCGTTCCGAACTGCGGCCGTTCTGAACTGCATTCCGAACCTTCCCTTCCAACTCCAGAGCTTTGGAAAGCCCCTGCTGCAGCAGCAGATCGAAGGCCTGGCAGCTTTCCGAAAGGTTCGGAGTTTAAGGGAATCTTCTCTCTCTATACATATACATATATACATATGAAAGAGAGGAACATTTTCACGTGAATGTGGCACATTGATAGAAATCTGGCAACCATGCAAATCCACCCAGCCTCTCGGGTGTGACCCAACCTCTCACAGAGCCACAGGAACACGTTCACACAAGCTCCATCCATACATGCTCAGTAGGGCGGGGGCTATGTTGGTGGTGTTCATTGTCGCGACTACAAAAATCACTGAGTTGTCACTGTTCTCTGGGCAAAGTCTGCAGAAGAAAGATCATGTGAAAGCAGGCTTTGGATGAGGGCAAACGGCCATTCCTTCCACTTTACTGTTGTGGAAACCTCAAAATACACATCTCTCGTTGATGGTATTGTCGAGTAAAAAAATATTGTATTGAAGTGGGGTGTATATCTATATATAGTAATTTGGATGCTTGCTAGCACCTGGGATACACAACTCTGCCCCAGCTGTCAAGAATGTTCACGGTGATTACTTTGTCATCATTGCTGCTGATTTGTGATCACAACTTCTTTGCCTTTATGCAGCAATGACTACACAGCTCAGCATCGAACATGTGCCCCAATATGTTTAATGATGTATCTATGCTTTAACAAAGTACATCAAAATGTTGCACTCTACACATGCATGAGGAGCGTGTGCTGCCGTGGCCGCGAGAGGCAACCCAAGACTGAAACCAAGAGCAACGTACAACGTACAACGGGGACAGGACTGAGAGGGCATGCGAAAGCAGCCAATGGCCCAACGATGCTCAATGGCAGAGAAAAACAGCTCATTTCTCCGGGAATGCGCATGCTTCTGGCATGTCAATACTCTCCAAGTATATTGGTGCAGTAATGATGCTAACAGTGCATTTGTGTGCCAAATGCATCATCGAAATCACGGAACATGGACACTACGTGATAGAATTCTATTACTATAAATCTCAGCGGATATGCCTTAAGTCGCATTGAACAATCAACAATGGTGCATGTTTCCTGAGGCCCCATGCGCTGCCACTGCAACAGCTGAAGCATCAAGCGCGCCTGCTGCCCAGCTGACCTGGGGACAACTGCCAGTGTATCAAAAAGTACCTGGAATGTCAACGATCTAGAATCATCCCTGCAAGTCTTGAATAGGGATGCTAAAAGTGAAACATCTCGGATGCCAAGCGAATCTTGAATTTCGTTGGCAAAAGTCTTTCTGAACAGATTCGGACCAAGCCTCCAAGGCTTCCTGTGCACCAACTGCTTGCTCCTGACATATTGTCGCTCAAGGCTGCAAGTACGGCCAATCCAATGGTTGCTTAACTCGGCTTTGCAAACTGTTTTGCAAAGCCAGATGATTGCCATGCTGACGACTCTTCTGCTTTTGATCGGGCTCAAGCCTGCAAAAGCTTGTCTAGCAGCGACCTCACAAGCGAATGCTACAAGAAATCAATGTGCCGGAACAGGTTCAACAAATCTTCGAGAGACTGAAACAGCACATGGGGCACACACGCAAGGCGGTGGGGCTGCAAGGCTGCCTAAGTTGCAGCTGGCCAATCTGACGCTGATTCAAGAGAAGCGCAAAGCATTGAAAAACCTGCTTTCTTGCGATCCATCCCTCAATACGCCAGGACACCATCAATTCCACCAGCCGTCCCAAGTTTGCGACATCGGGAGCGGTCTCTGACAGGATCCTGCATGAAAACGAGAAACCCCCATCACTCGTTTGAGAAAACATCCACTATGACCATGATTATAACCACTACCCGTTACTACGTACTACTCCCCACTGGCTACCACTTCCTTTCCTTTCCTTTTCGTTGCGTTACTTTACCTTACCTTCCTTACCATTTCTACTTTTACTTCAACTACAGCTACAACTCGACCCACTGTTACTGCCGCCACCACCACCACCACGACTACTACGACTGCGACGATGTATTATACAACGACTACGGCTACAACTACAACTAGAACCGCTGCTACTGCTACCGCCACAACCACCACCACCGCCACCACCACCACGACAACGACGACAATTACTACTACCACCAATTGCACCCAATGACTACAAAGTACTACAAACTAGCATCTACTGATCAACTCCAACTATGCTTTCACCTTCTTTTTCCTGCTTCTCCTACTTCCTTCTACTTCCTCCTGCTTCCTCCTACCTCAATGGGTTCTGGGATGCCAACCATAAATTCTAGGTTTCTTGTTTTCGGAAGACATCACACCGGACAAACGGCGCAGCTTTCAAGGAGTCCTTTCAACGGCGGACTGCTGCCAGAACAGGTATCATGAGACACTGATAGGAAACCCCGTCAAACTGATAGGAAACCCCGTCAGCCAGTATGCTGGAGTGAATGTTCCCTTAACAAGTGTTCAACCGTACTTTGCTCACATGATGCAGTCATGGAGACCGGGAAGCATTTGTCAGAACATGGGAAGCAAACAAACAGCAAATGCAGTATTGTGGCACCACTCAAACGACAGGGAAAGATTTGGCTGTTGGGGCAGGATATTTCCTCCTCCCCCTACTTCCCTCTTCCTTTCTCTCCGGCTTTTTCCTACTACCTCCTACTTCCTAGGTTATACAAGGGGTCCGTATAGGCCATAAGGGGCCAGTAGGCGTAGCTTCTAGGTCTAAGCTCTATGGCAGGGCGCACTAGGAGGCCCTATCATAGCCAGCGCAAACCGGTGGCGATGGTGGTGGAGATGAAGGTGGTGACGATGGTGGTGGTGATGATGAAGGTGGCGGTGCTAAAGGTGGTGACAGCAGTGGTGATGGTGGTGACGATGGTGGTGGTCGCTGTGAAGGTAGTTGCGGTGGTGGTGATGATGGTGGTGATGGTGGCGATGAAGGTGGCGATGGGGCCAGCAGCAGCAGCAGCAGCACCACCACCATCACCACCATCACCACCACCACCACCGTCACCACCATCACCACCACCACCATCACCACCATCATCATCACCACCACCACCACGACGACCACGACGACTACGACCACAACCACGACCACGACCACAACCACCACCACGACCACCACCACGACCACCACCACGACCACGACCACGACCACGACGACTACGACTACGACTATGTCTACGACTACAACTACGACTACGACGACTGTGCTGGACCTGTCACAATAGACTAAGAGACACTGAAGGGGCGGCAACTTGCGTCCTTTTAAAGCTGTTGCAAACTAAAGAATGCAGCTTTCGCGCCTCAAATATCGCAGCTCCCAACACTCTCCAAGCGGCACCAGTGCTGCAAGCACATCCGCAGGTGGGAAAGTGCTAGGAAACTCAGCCTGGACGCTGGACATCACTGTTTCATTGACCCAGGCAATCTTCGGAGCTAAGGTGCTGAACAATGCTGAACCTGCCTAGTAGCGTCCTTGTTCCTAGTAGCGATGCCAGGAGCCCCTAGTAGCATCCTTGCTCCTAGTAG